GAATGATTTATTACATACATTACAAGAATATGGACGTTCGCCACTATGCACACTTTGATGGATCTTCAGAATTTTAGGAACTCTAAATGATTTATTACACACATCACAGGAATATGGCCGCTCGCCACTGTGTACGACTTGATGTGCTTTCAGAGTATTCTTCTGAGTGAATGATTTATTACATACATCACAAGAATATGGACGTTCGCCACTATGTACGCGTTGATGGATCTTCAGAGTTGTAGGAACTCTAAATGATTTATTACACACATCACAGGAATATGGACGTTTGCCACTATGTATGCGCTGATGGATTTTCAGTTTTTTAGGAGCTCTAAATGATTTATTACACACATCACAGGAATATGGCTGCTCACCCCTGTGTATGACTTTATGTTCTTTGAGATTATACTTCTGAGCAAATGATTTATTACATACATCACACGAATATGGATGTTCACCACTATGTACACGTTTATGTATCTTCAAATTATGATTCTGTCCGAACGACTTACTGCACACATTACAGGTATAAGGATATTCTCCACTATGTGTGCGTTGATGTCTCTTTAGAACACTTGGCGAACAAAATGTTTTACTGCATTCATCACAGGAACTGGGATGTCCCCCACCATGCTCAAGTTCATGTTCATTCTGAGGACTCTGCTGAAGAACAGAGAAAAGAATTATGATAAACTTAACATAACGAAGAAAAATGAGTTTGAAATCAACATGATAGATTTTTCTACCAAATCCCATTACCTGACCCAAATTTAGTGGAAGTTGTGCAAGAATTTGAAGTCCACATAGCAGTTTACAGTTAATTCATTGAGGTATGTGACGTAACCCGGAGCACCTGACCTCAAACTTCAGCCCCGAATGTTACATCATACTCAAACAATAAATGGTTCTTACTCTGTACCAGGCTGAATCTGAATTCCATGGCAAACGCATTTTTTTACACACTGGGATAGCTACATATAAATTTGTTGGTTCAATCACGTGATGGCTACGTATAGCAAGAAATTAAATATTTTGGAGCCCTTGAATTGAACCCATGGTCTTCAATCGCATTATGTGCTCTAACTTTGAATGGTAGGTCACTGTATTAAAAGGTAAGCACACAAAATTGGCAAATATATTACTCTAGATGCAGTGGGATAGGAAGATGTCAACTTGCTAGTTCAGTTAGTTCCTTGATACTTGTAATAGAAAGTTGGGTTTCTTGTCAGGCCTGAGCTGTGATACATATCAAATGGACTCCTGAATGACACCATGGTACTTATAAGGTTAAAAAAAATTTCTCTTATGCATGGAATAGAAGAAAAGTCACTTATGCCAACTGTCCCCGAATTCTCATCCTATATCATAACATACATATTCAAGTTCTTTGTATCCAGCCAGACTTGTTATTAGAGAACCCATAACAAAATGATTGGGCTTTCTGCAACAGGCAAGCAAAACGTTAACCAATCAGAGTCAAAGTGTCATGACCTGGGGATATATATAGTCATGGTTTGCTAATGCGAATATAAATTCAAAAAATTAACCTAAATAAATAACCCAGATTTTTAGAAATGATTCGACTGACAACATGCAGCTTTCTCTATTTGTCACTAAGAATTCCTGCTTATCTTCATGCCTTAATAAGTAACAGAAAACAAATAAAATTTACTGTTCAGACGAACTGATGTACATGCTCTAGTAATAATGACTGTTCCAATAAACCTCTTTCCAAACTTTATAGTTGAACTGCCAAGATGACAACTTCTTACAAATTTTAATTTCAATAAAAACATAATTCTACCAATAGAATTAGCCCAGTTTGGATACCTTATTTTGGAGAAAAATAAATAGTAATTTCCAAATAGCAGTTAATATTATGTAACATTTCCACATTCAGTGAATTTTAACACACTGCAATCTTTATCTTCATAAGACAGTGCCACTCTGAAGGTAAACATGTCTTTCTTCCACACCTCTCCTCAGTTTTTCCCCATGTTCTTCCTTCGTTCTGTGTGACATCTCTTGTAACTTGCTGCACCCATCTTTATTTCTCCTCTTTGTGTGCTTGTCCTTTAATTTCATGTTCAAAACATTTAGTAAAACTATCAAACAGTGCACAATATTCCATGTAATTATCACTTTCACTGTCACTGTCAGAAATTACAGTGCCACCAATAAATCTAAAATCCCAGAAAGTATGTAAACTGCGAGTGGAGATTTCACTCCACATCACTTTTGGGAAGTCTCTTCTTAAACCACAGGGGCCCTCTCTCCCCTACTGACTGTCACACTGCAGTTACACAACTTTCAAACTGAACGACAAGATGAATGACACAAAAACAACAAAGTTGTTCAGAGTGTGGATTTAAATTTTATTCTTTCAGTGATATCACTTATGATGAGAAGAAGGCAAATGGGAATACATAATACATCCATCCTAAACAAGATCTACTATGAGTACAATCTGGTAATTCAGCATACCATATCCTTACTTCAGAAGAATGGGGTAGAGCCTTAGTGTACTGCAAAAACAAACACAGTGCTCTGATTCCATCTGTAGAATAATTAGTAGGATCTACAGATATCTGAATATTGTATGTGATACCATTCATAACCTAGATACAATTTCAA